GAGATTTAACGAGTAATTTATAAGAAATCCAACTTGATATAAATTGTTTTGTTAATATTTAGCATTATTTTTATTAGTTTTATTAATTAAAGCCTAATTTTATATCGTAGGTGTTGCAAAAGGAACGAAGAAGTACGCCAAAGAGCAACAGCATTTTCTGAGTATTTTACCAGTATACTATTATCGCTTACCAGCAGTAGGTGGTGGTAAGGCGTATTGATAGCCCCCGCCGGAGGGTATCCCATTCCGGCATAGGTATTTATACCACGAAACAATCGACTTTTCTGGTTAAAGAGTGGGACGTCCACTGTGTAATGCAATAGAAGCTTCGACGTCATGTCTGAAGGTGGGAGGCGGTACTCTGGTACCCATAATACCAGGTGGGCGTTTGTTTAGGGCAATCCTAATCATGACACTTTATATAATTGTTTTTAAGTGTGAGAAAGCACTAATAAGTATGTCAATGCAATTAGTGGCAGTTTCGCAACAATTTCTCATCGTACATGCACGTATTGTACATCAAGAGAATTAAAAACACTTTGATCTGAATCAAGTTTTTACTGAAGCACACAAATTAAGTTCACGCTCAAAACAACCATGAGCCCACCCATCTACAGGCGGACGGATTCCAAAAAAAAATTCTTTCATATATAAACGTTGTATTGACAATTCAGCATAACATAGGAGAAATCAGTCAAATCGGTCAAGTCAAGTGATGCTCCGTTATAGATGGAATGATTGCTAGTTTTAATTTACATAAATGTTACTCCTTCAAAGTTCGGAAATACATTTTATTTGTGTGCGTGCGTGCGTGTGTGCGTACGTGCGTGCGTGCGTGCGTGTGTGTCTGTGTGTGTGTGTGTGCCTAATTGCAATTTCACAAGATTTAAATCGCAATATAACCGCGTTATGGTATCTCGATTAATTACATGTTTTTTTTTAGTTTATTATGTATTTTTTGCATAAACGGATGAAGGACCCACAATTCTACAATGTGACAACGTAGATTTTTTTTATTGCTTAGATGGTTGGACGACCTAACTTAACACCAGGTAGGCTACCTGGAGTTAAGTGGTTACTAGAACCCATAGACATCTGCAACGTAAATGCGCCACCCACCTTGAGATATAAGTTCTAAGGTCTCAATATAGTTACAACAGCTATCCCACCCTTCAAACCGAAACACATTACTGCTTCACGGCAGAAATAGACGGGGTGGTGGTACCTACCCGTGCGGTAATATGCCACTTTGTGACACGAAAACCAAGTATCGATTTTGTTTTGTTCCCATCCATCCATGGCTATGCCGTCCTTTAAGCCGGAACGCAAGGCTGATTTGCGACAGAAATAGGCAACAAGGTGGCGCCTATCCATGCAGGCTTTCAGTACGCCGCGCAGTAAAGCTTAGCATCTTTATAACGACGCCTAAAAATACAATAATTCAAATTTAATAAGCAGTGATTCTGTAAGAAATACTCTATGTACCGTCGCCTCATTAAACAAATTAATTTAAGCCAATCACAATCATGTATTGTGCAAATAGCTTAACAGGGCTACAATAAATCTTATACCTTTAAACGAGCAATTCTTGTATATTAATATATATATTATAATCTGAATCTCGGAAACGGCTCCAACGATTTTCATAAAATTTAGTATACAGGGGATTTCGGGGGCGATAAATTGATCTAGCTACGATTTATTTTCAGAAAATGTTGTTTTATTCGTGTTTTCGATAATCAACTCTTCCCGACATCTATTGGCGAATAATAATACTATTTTTCTTAATTGAGGGCAATTAACCGCTTTAAAGATACAATAAGATGGCGTTATCAAAAAAAAACCGAGCAAAGCTAGCCGACCGGTCATCATCTAGTTTAACATAATATGTAGTTCACGGCTATATAAATAACGCTTAAAACGAAATACATTTAATACGACAATAGTTATCTTAACGTGATGTTAAAGGTTGCGTGTGTTATCATTATATTTTACGCATTTCTGTATCATAGTGAAGCGCGTAAGTAAATATTAGTCAAGTAATTCCATCGATAGTTTGTATACAGCTTTACTTTGAGAAGGCGGCACGACATGAGAAAACTCTGGTCGTGGCCGCTGGGAATTACATACCCGATCCTGTAGACCGAATGGTAAATAGTCGACGTCGCCCAAAACACGTCATTACGGAGCCTCCCGATTCGTTAACGATGCTTTTAGGTAACACAAGCACCGGTCACCGTCCTCGTCGAACCCGTCGTTTGCGACTAAGGGCTCGACGAGCAAATTAACCCACAGACACAGCCCACTGAGTTTCTCCGCGGATCTTTTCAGTGGATCGCGTTTCCGATCCGGTTGTAGATTCTGCGAAGCACTGCTCTTGTTAGAGCCAGTGTTAGCAATACTCCGATTTGAGCCCCGTGAACTCACCTACATGTTAGGGCGAAGCTGAAATAGCCTCTCAAGGCTATCAACATAGGTAGGTTAAAAAAAAATGCAGCTATTATTTCTGCCGTCAAGCAGTAGGGGTGCGATTATAAAACCTATGAGTTTCGATTTGAAGGCCAAGGCAGCAGTTGTATTGTAAAACTGAGACTTAGAACTCGTATCTTTTTTTTATTGCCCTTGTAGGCAAACAAACATTCGGTCCTCCTGATTGTGAGTGGTTACCGTCATCCAAGGACTTCGGCTATTTTTTTTTTATTGCATAGATGGGTGGACGAGCTCACAGCCCACCTGGTGTTAAGTGGTGACCGGAGCCCATAGACATCTACAACGTAAATACGCCACCCACCTTGAGATATAAGTTCTAAGGTCTCAAGTATAGTTACAGCGGCTGCCTTACCCTTCAAACCGAAACGCATTACTGCTTCACGGCAGAAGTAAGCAGGGTGGTGGTACCTACCCGTGCGGACTTACAAAAAGTCCTACCACCAGTAATATCAGCGACAGAGTCAAGCCTCTGCCTATCGATAATGTCTTTAGGCGGGTGGTGGCATTTACGCTGTTGATTCTGTTGATGGCTTCGGTAACCACTAAGCAACAGGTCTGAGTTCGTTCACCTATCGAAGCAAAAAAAAAACTCTGCTTCAAGGCAATTATGTTCAATTCGAAGGGTGGAACATCAGTATAATCATGCTATTGATATTTCGATTTCATCTCCTAAGATTTCGGAATCAAGAGCTTTGAAAACCAGGTCAGATGCGAGTATATCTATAAAAAAATGTTTTATTAAAATTAAGCTTGTTGTTATATTTATTGTACAAAACTTTTAGTGCCTTCAGATCTTTGTCGAATTCGGCCCAAAGATAAACATTGTCTTATAGAGTATATGGCTCGGAACAGATGGTCGCATCAAATAAGGTCAGTACTACTAGTTTCAATCAAACAAAAAAAGCAGTATTAATTTAACCGAAAATTGTTTCTACTAGTAATTCAATATTATACCTTTAAACGAGCAATTCTTGTATATTAATATATATGTATATAATCTGAATCTCGGAAACGGCTCCAACGATTTTCATAAAATTTAGTATACAGGGGATTTCGGGGGCGATAAATCGATCTAGCTACGATTTATTTTCAAAAAATGTTGTTTTATTCGTGTTTTCAATAATCAACTCTTCCCGACATCTATTGGCGAATAATAATACTATTTTTCTTAATTGAGGGCAACTAACCGCTTTAAAGACACAACAAGATGGCGTTATCAAAAAAAAAACCGACAAAGCTCGGTCATCATCTAGTTTAACATTATATGTAGTTCACGGTTATATAAATAACGTTTAAAACGAAATACATTTAATACGACAATAGTTATCTTAACGTGATGTTAAAGGTTGCGTGTGTTATCATTATATTTTACGCATTTCTGTATCATAGTGAAGCGCGTAAGTAAATATTAGTCAAGTAATTCCATCGATAGTTTGTATACAGCTTTACTTTGAGAAGGCGGCACGACATGAGAAAACTCTTGTCGTGGCCGCTGGGAATTACATACCCGATCCTGTAGACCGAATGGTAAATAGTCGACGTCGCCCAAAACACGTCATTACGGAGCCTCCCGATCCATTAACGGTGCTTTTAGGTAACACAAGCACCGGTCACCGTCCTCGTCGAACCCGTCGTTTGCGACGAAGGGCGCGACGAGCGAATTAACCCATAGACATAGCCCCCTGAGTTTCTCGCCGGATCTTCTCAGTGGGTCGCATTTCCGATCCGGTGGTAGATTCTGCGAAGCACTGCTCTTGTTAGAGCCAGTGTTAGCAACACTCCGATTTGAGCTCCGTGAACTCACCTACATGTTAGGGCGAAGCTGAAATAGCCTCTCAAGGCTATCAACATAGGTAGGTTAAAAAAAAATGCAGCTATTATTTCTGCCGTCAAGCAGTAGGGGTGCGATTATAAAACCTATGAGTTTCGATTTGAAGACCAAGGCAGCAGTTGTATCGTAAAACTGAAACTTAGAACTCGTATCTTTTTTTTATTGCCCTTGTGGGCAAACAAACATTCGGTCCACCTGATGGTGAGTGGTTACCGTCATCCAAGGACTTCGGCTATGTTTTTTTTTTGCTTAGATGGGTGGACGAGCTCACAGCCCACCTGGTGTTAAGTGGTTACCGGAGCCCATAGACATCTACAACGTAAATACGCCACCCACCTTGAGATATAAGTTCTAAGGTCTCAAGTATAGTTACAGCGGCTGCCTTACCCTTCAAACCGAAACGCATTACTGCTTCACGGCAGAAATAAGCGGGATGGTGGTACCTACCCGCGCGGACTCACAAAAAGTCCTACCACCAGTAATATCAGGGACAGAGCCAAGCCTCTGCCTACCGATAATGTCTCAAGGTGTGTGGCGGCATTTACGCTGTTGATGTCTGTTGATGGCTTCGGTGGCCACTAAGCACCAGGTGTGAGTTCGTTCACCTATCGAAGCAATAAATAAAACTCTGCTACAAGGCAATTATGTTCAATTCGAAAGGTGGAACATCAGTGTAATCATGCTATTGATATTTCGATGTCATCTCGAGATTCCGGAATCAAGAGCTTTGAAAACCAGATCAGATGCGAGTATATCTATAAAAAAATGTTTTATTAAAATGAAGCTTGTTGTTATATTTATTGTACAAAACTTTTAGTGCCTTCAGATCTTTGTCGAATTCGGCCCAAAGATAAACATTGCCTTATAGAGTATATGGCTCGGAACAGATGGTCGCATCAAATCAGGTCAGTACTAGTTTCAATCAAACAAAAAAAAACAGTTTTAATTTAGCCGAAAATTGTTTCTGCTATAAATTGAATATTCTTTATGAACGCACTATATCCGCTATGACGATCGATACAGTATTCTCTTTTATTTTTATTTTTTTATTGCCCATGTAGGCAGACAAGCATACGGCTCAACTGATGGTGAGTGGTTACCGTCGCCTATGGACTTGAGCAATGCCAGGGGCAGAGCCAAGCCACTGACTACCATTAAGTACTCTCCATAAGCCTCGTTTGAAGAAGGATATGTCATAGAGCTCGGGAAACACCGTGGAGGAACACCGGAACTCATTCCAAAGCCGGATGGTACATGACAAAAAAGATTTCAGGAAACGCACTGTGGATGAATGCACTAGCTTCAGGGCTCGTGGATATTCTAAATAAATCCAAACATGTACATACTAAACATGTCTTGACAATGGCATACATCTATCTCCTTTAGTTGATAATAACTATCGCTTGCGGACCTCGCTGAAGAATAATCGTCATACTTTTACAAAAAAAAAGGACATGTATATCATGCTGTAAGGAACCTTCTTCGGAGAGACACATACCCGATCCTGTGGACCGAATGGTAAACAGTCGATGTCGCCCTAAACACGGCATTACGGATCCTCCCGATCCATTAAAGGTGCTTTTAGGTACCTCAAGCACCGGTCACCGTCCTCGCCGAAACCGTCGCTAGCGACGAAGAGCTCGACAAGTAAATTAACCCATAGGCACAGCCCACTAAGGTTTCTCGCTGGATCTTCTCAGTGGGTCGCGTTTCCGATCCGGTGGTAGATTCTGCGAAGCACTGCTCTTGCTAGGGCCAGTGTTAGCAGCACTCCCGGCTTGAGCACCGTGAGCTCACCTACTCGCCCGGTTACGCTAACATAGCTTCTTAAGGCTATCAGTTTAAGTAGGAAAAAAGGAGGGAGTTATTCATGAGCTAGACTGGACGTAGTCAAAATCCTTTTATTTACTTATCCAAGTTAATCTTGTCGTTCAATCTTTTTAGGTATGTGTTTGACTGGGACTTCCAGAAATGCGTCGAGATCCGATGGTCAGCTCACTGCCCCAATGTGCCAGATTCACCTGTCACTAACAATTTCCCGACAGAACAAAGATGTAAAGACGAATGCTCCGGATGGGCATGATTTTCTAGCATTGATTTGTCTTTCCTGTCGTGTCGACCTCTGTAAAATAATTACTAGATGTAATGGTTTAAATAAATGTTTTATTCGGTTACTTCGTTCTACATGCAAAGAATTGTAATTAGTTCATTTCTCTAGTTCGCGCAATATTCCAATGTCAACGATATCACCTTAGTTGTCAGTGACCACAAAAATTGTAAATGTAAAATTACGTGATACGTCCGAATTTGAGAAAATATAATAAAAATGCATGACATTCTTATAAAACTAGCTTTTAATTGTGTCGACTCTTGAAAACTAACACTATAACGAAAGGTTGTCTTAAAAATGACTGCATGTTTAAGCCCACTGAGTTTCTCGCCGGATCTTTTCAGTGGGTCGCGATTCCGATCCGGTGGCAGATTCTGCGAAGCTCCACTCTTGCTAGGGAGGGCTATAGGGCTATAGGAACAGTCCATTACTTTGAGAAGGACACCGGACCTGTACGGTTAAAATCTTCTATCTATATTTTAAGACAGAAATTTATTAATTTAATTTCTATAATCATTTTATCTCGCATTTTACGATCCGAGTTTGGAATGAATTTTTCTGTATGATGCTTCTTTGGCATTATGACAGGTATTTTTTAAACGAAGTTTCAGAAAGGAGGAATTCCGTAGCGGAAGGTCACTTAACTGTCATCCTGGCATGCTGCTATCCAAAAGCGGCCATTTTGAAAACCAGTGAGATCGTTAGAATTAAAATCTGAAAATAGTACAGCTGCTTGCGCGAATGCACAGCCATGTCAATTGCTTTCGATTGGACGTAATTAAAAGTAATCGCGACATAACATAAATAATTAAAAACGAAATAAATTTACAATAAAAATTAACATGGCATGAAATGAAATGAAATGATATGAGATAAAATATAATCTCAGTAAAATGGCGGTCATTTACTTTTTGGAGGATCCGGAGAAGTTACGTCCAGCGGCTTTGTTGCATTTTTTTACATTTGTGCACTTTCACAGGTACAGAACAGTTCATAAACCACTATTATTACGCATTTAAACCTAACGAAACACTAAATAGACAAAATAAAACAAATCACACAACTTCACTCCTCGCGTTCCCGCCAAAAAGTCCATTTTGGCGATAATTTAAATATTGTCATAGATTATATTTCTTATACCGCGATCTCGAATAAGGTCTTTAAGTAATAAAACTTTTTGTAATATTATAATGTAATCCTAGGCCTATGTCCAGCAGTGGGATGAAAACAATAATCCTAAATGTGAATCTTATAAATTATATACTACGTTACGCACAAAACAATTAAATAAATTTTATCAAAACTTTACGATCAGTGATGAACCCAGTTCGCAAGACTACAGTCGCATATATTCTAAAAAACAAACTACAACATAAAACATTAAATAGATGAAAATATACGACCCATTCTATAAGAATTCTTTTAACATATAAAACGAAATGATATTTCGAGATAAGTCTAATAAATATTGGACATCGTATTTGGATTGTCAGGAATACTGTTGTGTATGAAACTACTACTGACAATCTAATTTGGTGCCCCGGAGAATTACTTAGATCGTATAAAAGTGGACGCGGCATTAACAAAATCAAGCACTAGGTATAGCTGTTGTGATATGGCTCCTTATAAACAAATATTAAGATCAAATCCTGAGATGAACCTCGAGATATAAACAAAAAGACTAGTAGAATAAGTAAGATAGTACTGTCAATCGCGATAGGTCACAGTTCGGTGTAGTAATGCGTTTTTTCCTACCTATGCTGGTAAATTAGAGGGATTATGCCAACGTAATCGGGTTAGTAGGGGAGCTCACGGGGCTCTAACCTGGGGCGTTGCTAACACTAGCCCTAGCAAGAGCAGTGCTTCGCAGAATCTACGACCGAATCGGAAACGCGACCCACTGAGAAGATCCGGCGAGAAACTCAGTCGGTTCTATCCCAGGGTGGTAATAGAAGAATCTAATCGCAAATTTGAACTTGTTCATTGGCCTTAACATAAACTGTAAAGCTGCATACCATTTTTGTTAAGTCTAATTATTACGCCACCAGCATAGCATCTATATTAAAATTAAAGACATCCATATAATTTCTCGATCTATGTGCATATTAATACGAGTCCCTTTCCGCAAATACATTTTGTGTACCCGCACTCAATAGTCAATACCCCGGGGGTGTGACGATGGAAATAAGCAATCTATTGGGGCTGTAAGAAGACTGTACCCAAAGCCAAAACGGCAGTGTACTGCAAACCTAATATAAATTAAAAATAAATATTAATTTAAAAAACAAAAAAACACGCTTTCATAGAAAATGTTTTTTTAAAACGCTTTTTTTTATATTCAATTTACTTTTTGTATTTTAGTTGGATATTCTATAAAAGCGTATTTTTTTGTTTTTTAAACTATTATTTATTTTCTATTTATTAGTTTGGTTTTCTGTAAAAGTTTGTTTTATAGTTTTTTAATTTATTGTTTATTAAATATGGTGTTGCAATGAAACATTAACATGTCAATAAGCTATTAATTTGTTTAGCGGTTGAATTAGTCTTTGTTAATATTGTGGAGGAGCTGTTAAAATTGGGAGCTATAGTACCAACGAAAAATCGCTAATCCTTATTATCCTAGTAAGTATAACAGGTCTAACTGCTTAAAATATTGAATTTTCATCGGTCTTTGATAAGTATGCCAAATTTCGAGTCAATCCGACATTTTGATGGGGATCAAAATTATCTTCAAAGTTTCCGTTACATAAATAGTAACATACGTATGAAGCTAATAAAAGCGTATTAAAAAGAGATTAATGCATCAGGCCTAAAGGTGGGTGGCGGCATTTACATTTTCAAAGTTTCCGTTACAAAAATACTAACATAAGTATGAAGCTAATAAAAGCGTTTTATCAATGTTAATTTGCCAAATTAAAACTAAGTAAGCTTAGAATTAGTAAGCCCGTACAGTCATGTAAAGGACGGGAGACGCTCTACACAGCCTATGAAAGCCATGGACCCAGGCACTTAGATTAATGATCTCTGATTTAACTCACAATAGGCCCTTAGTGTATAGCTTTACATCTCAAGTACACTTGCCGCAAAACGAGAGACAATTATATTAAGTAATTGCTGAAATAGCGCCTTGCCAAAAAGGCCCGCAGTCGAGAAGCGTTCCGAGTCTACGAAGTTTGCTTTAGTAACAGAAAAAAAAAAACTATTATAGCTTCGTCAATAGCACTATCATAATTTACGATTTCCTATGAATTAGCTAAGTTTTAAAGTTTTTTTTTTGCTTAGGTGGGTGCACGAAATCACGGCCCACCTGGTGTTAAGTGGTTACCGGAGCCCATAGATATCTACAACGTAACGTAACGTAAATGCCGCCACCCTTTTGTTTTGGCGCCTTGAGATATGAGTTGAGCATGGCCCACCCTTTAAACCAAAAGGCATTACTACTTCAAGGCAGAAATACTCTAATGCGGGGTGGCGGTATCTACTCGTGCGGACTCACGGAATACTTATATTATGTATGGCCCGTATGCTTATATACCTTGTCTGTTGCTGCTTCAAACCAGTCATGCGCTCTAGTTTGAAGGAAACGCCAGCTATCATATACGTTTAGTTGTCTCAATTAGTTGTCTGTCAGTGCTTAGTGGGCTATAATTACGGTTGCAGGTTAGGTTACAACGCTCATAGTCTACCGCGACCAGAATAAAATTGTAAAAATGTAATGATAAGCTTCTCTTTTTACTTCTTACTCTAGCATCCCCGTAGGTACATAGGTAGGTAGGCATGGAAATCACGCTACCCCTTCTGATGCATATTTGAAACTTTTAATTTTACTATATGTTTCGAATTTTATTCAGTTTTCATGATCATATCAACTAATACGTTTTGCTTCTTTTCCTCCTTTACCATTGCCTCTTTACTACCTCCTGATATCTTTTCTTCGTGGAAATTTGATGAGCACGGGTAAGATACTTCACTCGTAACTGATAACATGAATATAACCACGCCTCCAGTAATAATATAGAAGCAGTGAAAATATAATAAGCTGACTCGTAATAAATAAGATAAACTTACACGAACAAGGTGTGGCTGTTAATGGCCGTCGCGCCCTAAATGTGCGGATACAGAAACGTGTTGTCAAATTTGACATTTGATCTCGTTTTTTATCTGTGGATTTTTGGCGCGTTTTTTTATATTAGAAAACTATAGCAGTGTTTTGACTTCTTGGCGTGTTTTAAGTGAAGTTGTGTGATTTGTTGTATTTTTTCCATTTAGTGTTTCTTCAGGCTTAAATGCGTAATAACGGTGGTTTATTAACGGTTTAATATCTGTGAAAGTGCACAAATGTGAGAAAATAACACAAAGCCGCTGGATGTAACTTCTCGGGATCCTACACAAAAGTCCACTGAAAAAATCTTAGTAAATGACCACAATTTTACTGAGATTATATTTCATCCCATATCATCTCATCTTATTTCCATAGACAACTACTAGGTCCAGGGACTGGAGGTGAGGAAGATGTTTACAGCACAGCCTAACCCCACCAATCTCAAATACCCCCCATATTCTTATTTTATTTTTGGTTAGAATAGCCCCTGTCTGTGAATCTCTATTAGAATTTAATTTTAGACGAGATATGCTCCATAGTCTTTCAACTGTTATTAAAAAACCATAAATACGGCGCTGATAGCTGATATGAAGCGACAGAAATACAGTATTCAAACCATACGCCCTTGACATTATAACACTGTATATCCATTTATAAACCATAACCCATAAACCATACACCATAAACCATAAAACTTACATTTAAAGAGCATATAGGCTCTACTACTTCTAAAGTCCGGAAATTAATTTTCTCCTTTAAGTTGCTCCGAGACGTAGCAAGTATAAACATATTGAAATCCATTTACCTCGCCCTATGCCAATCCATACTCTCATACTGCATCCTGGCCTGGGGCGGAGCAGCCACTTCTCATCTAATTACCCTTGAAAGAGCTCAGAGAGCAGTATTGAAAACTATTTTAAAGAAACAATTTAGGTATCCCACAGACACTCTCTTTAAAGAATTTGGGGTCCTGAGCGTGAGAAGAATATTTATCCTTAGGGCAGCCCTTGATTACCACAGAGAAGTTCCTAAAATTACCAACATCAAAGTTCTTGCTACAAAACGCACTCCTATAATCCCGACGCCCTCAGTTAGGACGGCTTTTGCTCGTCGTTTTAGCTCCTACATGAAACCTTACTTATATAACAGACTCAATAAAAAATACAAAATTCTTAACCTAAATTACGAAGAAGTTAAAAGAAAGTTAATAAAAGAACTGCTTAATTGGTCCTACTCTTTTTCGGAGGACTTTCTGAAATGCATTAAGTAACCCTAAACACGTACTTATGGTAAAAATCATTACACCTGTTCCTTTTCTTTTTATATATATGTGTGTATGTGTATGTATATATATGTATATGTATATGTGTGTGTGTATATATATATATATGTATGATGTTTCGCTTAACTATTTTGATTTACTTGTATATTCAGCACCGTTATTACTAGTTTTAAGATACTCCTGTAAAAAAAACTCTCCACGAGACAGGCAGTGCCTAGTGTGGAGAGTTTTTAGCAAACTGTTTTATATGTGTGGACGAGCTCACAGCCCACCTGGTGTTAAGTGGTTACTGGAGCCCATAGACATCTACAAAGTAAATGCGCCACCCACCTTGAGATATAAAGTTCTAACGCGTCGTCAGTATAGTTACAACGACTGCCCCACCCCTTCAAACCGGAGAACGCCATTACCGTACCCTGCTTCAACGCACAGAAAATCTTATGGTTTCAGCAGTTCCCCAAAAGTTTCGTACGAGTAGTAGATGTTGTTTAACTTGATTGTCAAGTTTCAACTTACCTACATACGTCATCTTGTAACAGAGCTTTCAAGTTACAAACGTCCAAGGCCTCCACACGTTTCACAAATCGATACAGGATAAGTTAGATGAGCACTTTGGTACCGTTCGGTATGCTGTAAGCGGATTTACGTGCGCATTTAAAGTATTCTCACGTGTTTCGCGAACCGTGATTGCTGTTTTGACAGCACAACTGTCCAACATTAGTTTGGAGCCACTTGTGGAAGCGAAGTTATTGTGTCCTTAAATTAAGTAGACAAATAAACTTCTCTGGTACGGTTTGTTCTACGCAATGATGGCTAGCGAAATGACTTGCATATAGTAACGCACTTTACTGGCCATTTCAGGTAAGCGAGTTGCCTAAGTAGAACAGTTCTGAAAACTCTATATTTCCTTAAATTCTCCCCTCATGTATTAACCCTAAAATTCGTGCTTGTCGACCGAGCGTCGGGCGGGAAAAAGGACCTGAGTAAATTTTCTGAAGACACTATGATGGGAATGTTGGCTTAGGAAGCTCCTTTCAGAAAAAAAGATCGTAGGGTTTATTCACTATCAGTAGCAATATAGCTGTAATATGAGGTTCGAAGCTCGGAGGTGACGTAAGACGTGCTTTATTCCCATCCCCTTTCCCTTGTGGCGCGGGTAACATATCATATTATCATAAGATCTTCCACCGAGGCCTAGGGGGTGATATTTGCTCGGTAGACCGACGGTCCAAATGTTGTATGTTCGGAACTTGTATATATATATTTTTTTATTTTATTGCTTAGATGGGTGTACTAGTTCACAGCCTACCTGGTGTTAAGTGGTTACTGGAGCCCATGGACATCTACAACGTAAATGCGCCACCCAACCTATGAGATATAAGTTCTAAATCCAGTATAGTTACAACGCTGCCCCACCCTTCAAACCGTAAAGGGGGCTTCAAACCAGCTTATCTTTAAAAGTCGTAAGCGGAGATTCAGGCATCTGTCAAAATCTTGCGTTATATGATGGCTACCCGCCACACCTCTAATCTTGAGAACTTAGGTTGTAATCACCAATCAGGTAATTCTTTGGGTTTCAAATCAAAAATCATAGTTCCAACATAAGTGATGTGCCTAATTTCAGGGGTATTCAAAAGGTTCCGAGAAGGTGAATCGCGGATTTAATACCCGAAACGACATGACGAGAACCAGGCACACACTATAGCGGTTTTCCCGTGGAAAGAAATAGAGAAACTACCTGAAACTAAGTATGAAAGCTTCTATAGATAATCTAAATAAAATAAACAGTCATGTACATAGTACGTGGAAAGGCAACGAAGCTGATTTCCCTCATAACAATTCTTTATTTCAGATTAATAACCTAGAATTATGTAGCTATGCATCGTCACTACATATTATAAAGCAAAGTCGCTTTCTCTGTACCTATATCCCTATGTATGCTTAAATTTAAAGATTTTAAAACTACGCAACGGATTTTGATGCGGTTTTTTTTAATAGATAGAGTGATTGAAGAGGATAGGTTTATAAGTATAATAACATCCATTAAATAGTGGAGATCAATAATAAATTACAGATTTGCGAAGCGGAACGAGGGCGGGTCGCAGTAAAACGATAAAAGACTATGAAAGTCGAAGGCCTCGCAAAGAATACGCTTATCTTAGTTAGATCACAACAAAATCAGAGAAACAGTACAAGTACATTCGCGGCGAACCGCCAAATGCATACATATTGTTTGACTTGTTTTTATTTTTCTATTTTATTGCTTAGATGGGCGATACGAGCTCACAGCCCACCTGGTGTTAAGTGGTTACTGGAGCCCATGACATTTACAACGCAAATGCGCCACCCACCTTGAGATAAGTTCTAAGGTCTCAGTATAGTTACAACGGCTGCCCCACCCTTCAAACCGCATTACTGCTTCACGGCGAAATAGGCGGGGTGGTGATACCTACCCGTGCGGACTCATAAGACGTCCTACCACAAGTAAAACTTTGTTTAAACTTTATTTTTCTAGGAAAACCGTTTCAAAATGCGGCATATGTCATGTTTTCCACGATGCCCGGGAACCTCACCTTTGAAGATTTCCTCGACATGATGTCGGTGTTCAGTGAAGCAGCACCAAGGGATATTAAAGCATGGTAATAATTATATAACCCCAGATCACATGCTCTGAGTCACTCGTCAAAATCACTATAAGCCTTGATATATACGATAAAGACATTAATCGCATTGGTTCAATAGTTGAGCCCATAGATAATACTTTTAATATTTGATTTGAACCTTCAAACCAGAACAAGCTTTCAGTCCACTACAGAAAGATAATTAATAATCGCACAAAAGATGAGCTACGACCAGAAATCTCTTGATGAATGGAGCAGACAGAATAAAGGTTTGTAGGATTCTCTGACGTTTTCTATATTATAACAATGCAAGATTTTTTTGTGCTCATGGATAATTGCGATTGGTCGGTTGGTTGATGCATACCAATTAATACACAAACTAAACATTATACAAATGATAGAGAAATTTAGGAACCTTATTTCGGTAGTAGTAGTAGTAAAACCAGTACGTAAGATATTTTAAATGTCAAAATGTCCGTCTTCCAATGAAGTAAATGGATATTTCTCGGAAATCTCTCAAAGTAAATTTCTATTTATAGACATATTTATTTTATAGACCATACACCATATTTATAGACATAGACATTTCGGTTTGAAAGGTGGTGCAGCCTTCAACTGATATTGAGTATAACAACTCATATACCTTAGAACTCATATGTCAAGGCGGGTGGCGGCATTTACGTTGTGGATGTCTATGGACTCTATGGACTGGACCAGATGGGCTGCGAGCTCGTCCACCGACATATGCAATAAAAAAACCTAGATATCTAATATATATATGGATAATATATAAAATTCTCGTGTCACAGTTTTCGTTGCCATACTCCTCCGAAACGGCTTGACCGATTTTGATGAAATTTTTTGTGCTTATCCGGTATCTATGAGAATCGGCCAACATCTATTTTTCATCCCCCTAAATGTTAGGGGTAGTCCACCCCTAAATTTATTTTATTTTTTAGACAAATTTTTAATCTTTTTATTTTTTTATGATACACATACAAAAATACATACAACCCTAAATTTTCATCCCTCTACGATCAAACCTTATTTTATATTTGCTAATTAAAAACTTATAAATTTTTTTGCGAGAATTTTGTTTTCATTTTCCATGACGTAGATAAAAAAATTCAATTACCTGAATTTTCACCCCTCTACGATCAACCCCTATTTTTTCTAATTTGTTAATATAAACTTTAATTTTTGGCAAGATTTTCATTTTTATTTTTGATTTTGTAACGAATTAAAAAAAAAAAACTGATGTACTCTCAATTTTCATTCCCTCTACGATCAACCCCTATTTTTTATTTGTTAATTATAAACTTTAATTTTTTTGGCAAGATTTTCATTTTTATTTTTATTTTGTCAATGAATTAAAAAAAAAATCTGATGTTACTCTCAATTTTTCATCCCTCTATGATCAACCCCAATTTTTTATTTTGTTTTGTCATGACTTAAAATAAAATAAAAAATCATATTACTCTCAATTTTCACTCTTATACGATCAACCCCTATTTTTCCATCCCGATTAATATTTTTTTTATTCTATGCACAGATCCGCAATAAGGTTGCAAGATGGCAATCAAATATTATAATTG